GTATATAACATTTTTTTCAAAAATGCTTTGTTTTCGAAAAATTTGACTGGTCCGGGACTTTTCCCCCACCCTGTATAACGTTCGTGTACGAGCGTGTCGCACATAACCAGTGTGCATCGCGCCGTCTTCTACACGACGGGACATTTGAGTACGTGCGTGTCGCGCAGATTCAGTGCGCATCGCGCCGTTCTTCAAACATTCGTGTGTGTGCGTGTCGCGCAAATCCAGTGCGCATCGCGCCATTCTATATAACGTTCGTGTACGAGCGTGTCGCACATAACCAGTGTGCATCGCGCCGCCGCGACGGGTCATTCGTGTGTGTGCGTGTCGCGCAAATCCAGTGCGCATCGCGCCATTCTATATAACATTCGTGTGCGAGCGTGTCGCGCGAATTCAGTGCGCATCACGCCGTTCTTCAAACATTCGTGTGTGTGCGTGTCGCGCATATCCAGTGCGCATCGCGCCATTCTATACGACATTCGTGTACGTGCGTGTCGCGCAGATTCAGTGCGCATCGCGCCGTTCTTTTGACATTCATGTGCGGGTGTGTCGCGCATATCTAGTGCGCATTGCACCGTTTTCCCTCGAGTCAAGACATACATTCGTGGGAGATGCCGCTCGAGCATACCCCGAACTTCTCACGCGTTACCAGGATGAGCATCGAATTGCGTCAGAGGTATAACGCCATGTCTCTTGAGGAGTTACAGCAAGAGATCCAGAATTTCGGACTGGATCCTCCAGAGTCGCATGACGACTGCATTGCGCAGATCACGTCGCACTTAGAGAAGAATGGACCTCTTCTCGATTTCGCCGATGATAACACACAAGGAGAGACATCGTCTTCTCTAGGTTATTCCGCATCCCAGATCTATAGGGACAGCGGCGTACCTTCATTCATTCAACCAGGCAATAGGCAACTTCAAGGATCAGCACCTGATGCCGCTTTTACACAACTTCGCCGACTCATGGCCCAAGAGATGTTGAAACTTCAACAGGCTCAAGCAGCCCAACAAGCCCAAGTAAGCCAACAGCAGGAAATGTTGAAACTTCAACAGGCTCAAGCAATCCAACAACAAGAAATGTTAAATAAAATCATGGCAGCCGTCAACAGGAATTCTACAGAAAACCAAGGTCCTGCCGGTCAACCAATCTCTTCGCTTGTCCAAAATGCTGACGGGTTTAATCCCCTTCCAGCTAGCACCAGTCTTCAAGCCCCGCAATCAACGGAGAACCCTTCAGTGGCATCCATGAACGCCTCAAGGTTTTTGGTCTCTCAAATTCCACAATTTGGCGGGACGGAAGATGAAGACGTAGAACTCTGGATCGAGAAGATCGAGAGGACCGCACTTATACACGGTCTTCCCTCTGGGGCGATGCTATCAGCTGCTTCGATCAAACTCACGAAAGCAGCTCGCAGATGGTTCGATTCAACCACAGGCCCAATCAATGACTCGTGGTCCGTCTTCAAGTCAGCAATAATTCGTCGCTTCGAGAGAGAAATCGTATATACCGCTGTTACAAGAAAAGCGGATGAACGAAGATGGCTCTTCTCGAAAGAGTCATTCCAGGACTATGCAATGGATAAAATAGCCATCTTGCAATGTCTCAAGCTGGACGACAAAAAGGTCATCCACTGCCTCATAGATGGTATTAGCAACCTAGCCATCCAAACAGGTGCCGCGTCAATCAGAACAGATTCGATTGACGACTTCCTGTGACAGATGCGTCACATAACAGCGAGAACTTCAACGTTGAGGAAATCTCCAGTGTTCAGCGTAAATACGACAAACACAAATCCAAGGATGAAGCTGCAGCCAAGCCTGATCATCAAGAAAAAGCTTCCAGTGAGCTCTTCTGTGTGTATTGCCGCAGTAAGGGCCACACAAGAGACTCCTGCCATAAACTCAAGAAGAAGGATGCTTTCCCCAAACCTGCCGCGTCGAAGCCACCGCCTCTCATCGCCGCAGTCATCGAGTCTCCAACCCAGGAAGCAGACACCTCACATGGTTCCAACACCATCGCTTTCGTGGAAGCCCCGCGAAACCAACTGATTACCGACACTGCCGTCGTAAAGGTAAAAGAGTTAAACAATTACTCTTGCGACCTTAAGGCTCTCCTCGACACAGGAAGCCCAACTTCGTTTATAAATGTAAACGCGTTCAAAAAATTTTTTCCGCGAACTTATTTTACGGTTTCAACTATTCCGTCGCTTAAAGCCATTAATGGATCTCCTATAAAAATTCTATGTATTGTCGACGCTACGATTAAATTAGAAGCGTTACCAACTTTTACGGCATTGATTCGTCTCCATGTCTTGGACGAATCCATAACGTCCTCAGACATTATCGTTGGTCGAGATTTTATAGAATCAAATAATTTATCTATCACTCTTGAACCTACTAGAATCGCCGTAAAACCTACGAATGCAAACCTAGACAATAAACTTGACTTACTCTCGGAAGTCCCGTCCGTTGACATAATAGAAGTCACTAACAAAATAGATAACCTCGCCAGCGATATTGTCATCGATTTCGACGTTTCAGCGAAAGCACAATTATTAGACGTCATTAAGGAAGTCGAAACTTCCGAGGTTCCGCTGATCGAAGACGATCATGCTATAAAAATTAACTTAAAAGACGAATCGGTTTATGCGTTCTCCCCGAGACGATTTGCGTGGTCAGAAAGACTGCAGATTCGCGAAATAATAGATGACCTCTTACAGAGAAAAATAATAAAAGAGAGTGACTCGCCATACTGTTCTCGCATTGTCCCTGTAAGAAAGAAGAACGGTAGCCTACGTCTCTGCGTGGACCTACGACCTCTCAACGAAAGGGTCGTTAAAAGAAAATTTCCATTTCCTCTCATCGAGGATTGTCTGTCTAGATTAGGGGATAAATCTGTTTTTTCATTATTAGATCTGAAAGACGGATTTTATCAGCTCAAGGTCCATCCAGATTACACTAAATTTTTTTCGTTTGCCACTCCAGACGGGCAGTACGAATACTTGCGCCTTCCTTTTGGATTTTGCGAGGCTCCAGCCGAATTTCAAAAACGGCTTTTGTTTATTTTACGGTCTTTCATTAAAGAGGATAAAATCTTAGTTTATTTAGATGATATATTTATTCCATCGTCTTCTGTCCAAGAAAATTTAGATGTCCTCAAGCAAGTTTTGCTGACATTAAAAAGCTACGGTTTGTCTTTGAATTTTTCTAAATGTAAATTCTTGAGGACAACTATAGAATATTTGGGTTACATGATTACACCTCAGGGCATTACCCTTAGCCCCCGACACGTGGAGGCGATACAAAAATTT